TATATATTCACATTCATTAATTCACAAGTTTTCTTCTTCCCACATCTTCATACTTACAATTAACAACTAAATGCATCGGAAAATCTTACAATCATACGGGATTGAACACCTACCTAACCATACAACTAAATATACGCATAATTATAAATCGCACGCTTTTACATTAAGCCTCTCGGCTACGCAATCGATGGGGGAAATTTCCTATTTAAGAAACATCCCTTACCAATGAAATAAATTAGATCATGCGTGGATTTTACTTTGTAATTAATGTAAGTATGGATGTCAACAATATTCATAATATTGAATAAATAATATTGTCAACTAGTTTAAATTTGATACGGTTATTAGAATTTAATAATAAATAAATAAAAAACATTAATTTTTTCTTAATAACCTTGAAACCTTTTTTAAGTTTGACAGTCCTCATGGTAAATTTTATTATTCTTTTTTTTCGTGTACAAAATAATGAATTGACCTTGAATTAAATGTATAATTAATTATTCTCACAGCAATATTTAATAATTTAATGAACTTAACTGCAGTGCATAATAGTTGAGAGTAGTAAGAGTAAGTGAAACGGTAAGATAAGTGAACGACCATTAGTGTGAGAGAGAGAGAATAACTTGTGGTTTTCAAGTAGGTATCTACTTTATGTGCACGGCGTTCATTTTTCGAAAGAACTGGACTGAGTACTATTTGTTCAATATTCGCTTCTATTATTGACTTGTGTTTTGTACACTGCCGCGTTCTTTTAACAATTACATGAGAAAGTAATTTCTCATTCCAATTTTTTATATTCTTATTCCCTCTTAGACTATATAAACAGTCTTTTTTTTATTAGGTGCTTATAACGTCGTATCGACTGCCAGGGTCATTAGCGACGGTTTTACAGTTTGTTTGTTTATTTACATATAATTTTTAACATTGTATATTTAAATTCATTTTCTATTGTTTGTTTTAAATAGATTCTATTAAGTTTATGGTTTCTAACAGTTGTAGAACTTTTTTAAACATTTGGGTTTTACTCAATATTGTTTTCAGTTGGTTTTTTAATTTAAGTCTGTTTTTTATTTCATTATATTTTGGGCAATCTATTAAAATGTGTTTGATAGATATAGGCACTTGACACTGGTTACAGAGAGCTTGTTCTTCTTTTGTTATCAGATGGTGATGAGTTAGATGAGTGTGTCCAATTCGCAGGCGGGTTAGAGTTACTTGGTCCTTCCTTTTTTCCAACATAATTTGGTGATTGTCGAATACGTTGTTTTTTACTTCATGTAGTTTACTTGGTTTTGTTTTCCAATTCTCATTCCAGAGTTTTAATGTTTCGATTTTGAAAATTTTTTTAAGGTCTTGAGCTTCGATTTTTGCTTGTTGATCTAGTTCTACTAGAGTACAGGCAGTCTTTGCTAGAGAATCAGCTGTTTCGTTTTCCGGTATACCAACATGGGAAGGAATCCAAATTATGGTCATATTTTTTCCACTTTCTATTATTTTTGTAGAAAGTTCGTGGATTTTTTGTGTGATGTGATCGTATTTCGTATGATTTTGGATAGCTCTTATACCACTGAGTGAGTCAGAGAATATTACAAAGTCCTTGTGATTTGAATTTCCTATAAGATTTTGTGCTTTTAAAATTGCGTATGTTTCGCATCTGAAGATTGGATATAATTCAGGAAGTTTGTATTGCAAGTTTATTTCCGAGGTGTGGACACTGCATCCTGTTCCTAATTTAGTTTTGGAGCCATCTGTGTAGATATGAATGCAGTTTTGGTATTTGGATTTTAATGTTTCAAAAAGAGCTCTGTACACTATAGGTTCCGTATTTTTTTTATCTTGTTCCAACAGATCGAGGTTGACTTCAGGTAGTGAAATATTCCAGGGAGGGATAGTGTGTGGTCTGGAAATACTTATTTTTTTTATGTATGGTTCAATTGCAGTTAGGTCTTCTTGTATCTTGTAGTAAAAAGGTTTTGGGTAATTTGTAAATTCCCTATATTTTTCTGCATATTTTCCTTCGAAAATGGCATCATAAGAAGGGTTGTTTGGCGTGGAGGCTATTTTTGACGCAATGGTGAGACAAAGATTTTTTCTTCGAAGGTTTAATGGGAGTTGACCTCATTCGCTGAGGATGCTGTCAACGGGACTGGAACAGAAGGCTCCTAGAGATATTCTTAATCCTGAATTATAGACAGGGGATAGTTTTTTAAGTACTTTTGGTTTGGCAGAGCTGTATATGGAACAACAGTAATCGAATTTGGATCTGATTATTGCATTGTGTGTATTGATTAAAATTGTTTGATCTGCTCCTTAATTTCTTTTAGCAAGAGTTTTTATTATATTTAGTTTTCTTTTACAGTTGTTTTTTAATTCAGTTATATGAGGTTTCGAGGTCAAACGATTGTCAAAAATTAATCCAAGTATTTTAATATTTGTTGTTACTGGGAGTATTTGATTGTTTAATTTAAGTTCAGGGTTTCTAGTTACAGTTTTTTCTTTTGAGAAAAGTATGCAAGTAGATTTTGTACTTGAGAATTTATAACCTGTGGTTTCTGACCATTTTTGTAGGGAGTATAAATTTTCTTGCATGATGTCTTCTGTGATTTTAAGATTTTTCCCTTTACAATAAGCTGTAATGTCATCTGCAAAAATGCTACATTTGATGGGGTATTTAAAAAATTTATTGACATCATTGAAAGAGATTAAGAATAGTGTGACACTGAGAACTGATCCTTGCGGCACCCCATTTTCAAGTTGGAATTTACTTGAAAGATGTCCGTTTACTCGCACTTGTATATATCTTTCTTTGAGGAAATTTTTAATGAAAGATAGAATTAATCCTTTTACATTGTTTTCTGAAAGTATTTGAATGATACGATTTCGCCACACCATTTCATAGGCTTTTTCTATATCTAAGCTGACTGTTAGAAGGTGCTGATTATTGGCAAATGCATCACAGATTGACGTTTCGAGATTTAATAGTGGATCTATAGTGCTTCTTCTTTCTCTAAAACCACTTTGATTTCTGTCGAAGAATTTATTTTTTTCTAGAAACCATTTTAATCTCTTATTTATTATTTTTTCTAAAAGTTTACACAAGGTACAAGTTAGTGCCATGGGCCTGTAACTGGTTAATTGGCGTTTATCTTTTCCGTGTTTGAAGATGGGAATTATTATCGACTCGCTCCATAGTTTGGGGAAAACTCCATAGAACCAGATTGTGTTATACAATTTTAAGAGATAAGAGAGAGCTTTGTTGGTTAGATTTTTTAATAAACTATTTGGAATCTTGTCAGGTCCTGGACTTGTATTTTTACATTGTTTCAAGGTGGATTTCAGTTCTGTAAAGGTAATTGGTAAATTTAGAGGAGAACTGTTATTGTCAGTAAGATTGATATCTACATTGTTATTTTCATGTTTATATCTTAAAAATTTTTGGCTGTAGTTTGAGTCACTTGAGTTTTTTTGGTAGACTGCAGCTAGTGCATTCGCGATGTCTATTGGGTCTGAAATAATTGAATTATTTTCATTTAATAAGGAATTTATTTTAAGAGATGTTTGTGATCCTTCGATACTTCTGATCTTCTTCCATATTGTAGAACTGGAGGTGTTGTGTGTAATTTTAATTATGTATTAATCTTCGCACCAAGAAACATGAATACATTAGAATGTGACTCCTTATAAAATTTAATTATTTATCAATTATTAAATTAAAATACTTTGAAAATTCGATTTGTTAAAAGTTTTTAATGAAATTCTTTAATAAATTTTATTATTTTCAGTTGCATTTCACGAAATTTCTATTAATTCGATAATTTTTTTTAAATTTATTTATTTACATACTATATTTGAATCATCAGTGACTGATTTTTTACTATCGAATTAATTATTTTTAACTAATTCAAATTTAGAGAACAGTATAAATATCTATAAAAATTAAAATAAAAAGCGATTTTTGAACACAAATTAAAATAATAAAATTTTTTCTAATTTGGTGAGAAAATTCCTGGTTTGGAATAAAATTGCTGGCTTATTCCCGGTTTTTCCCGGTCAATATATGTATATGTATACTACTTTTTTTGTCATCGAGGCTACTATTTCCTACTTTTTTTTTGTCATTGAGGCTACTATTTCCTACTTTTTTTGTCGTCGAGGCTACTTTTTCCTACTTTTTTAAAACTCATAATTGAGTGCGAAGCCTGCACCGTGAGACAGCTTAAAAGATTCCAAGAACCTTTCAGGAACATTCCTCTGGCATATTCGGAACCTTCCAAAAAATATTTCAGGAAGGTTCACGGAACTAGGTAACTGTCTGCGAATATAGAATATTTTCTAGGTAAGTTCAGAGAATATTTATGAGGAATATTTTATTAACATACCTGAATAATATTCAGGAAATATTGAAAACCTATATATAAATATAAGGAATATTCACTATGAATGCTTACAAAATATTTTAATATAACTTACAGAGAATATTAAAAATATAAATTCTTTTAATATTAATTGAGAATTTTGTTAAATTGTTTCTAAAAATCGTTTATAAATATTACTTGGGAGTTTTTTTATAGTGATTCATATTTATTAAAATAGTTGATTAAATGTTTTGTAATAATCTGAGGCTTTTACTGTAATTACTCAATACTGTAATTTGTATTTGAAAAATTATAATTAAATTAATGATTAAATAAAAAGTACAATATTTTTTCACTGTTTAAAATTAGAATTAGTATAAATTATTTTAATTTAAATCATATAATTGACTTATTAAATACAAATTCAGACTTCAGTACTTAACATCTTATACCAAATAAATTACTGAAATAAGTCGAAACGAAAAAAAACATCTATTCATTGAAGTTTTTTCTATTTTCTCCACTATATTGGATTCCCTAATAATTATAAGACCATTTTGAGTTGGAAAATTTAAAGAAATACCCCAAAAATTCAATATTATAAAGTTTTCTGGTATTTAAATGACTTAGAACTTTCGATGAAATTAAGGTATAAGGTTTGGAGATTATATCATTAATAGGATATAACAAAGCTATTACTCGGAGTTTTTCTTAAATTTTATTTTTTAAATTTATTGCAAAAGTTATTGAGTTCTTTCGACTTATAAATAAATTTATCATTGTTCATTTACATCGCAGGTAAAAAATTAACTAATGAAAAATAACAAAAATATTTATTTGAACAAATTTCTAATGTAATTTGATATTGTTTTAAAAAGCACGTTGATTCTATGCATCAACAGACTTTGGCACCCTAGACTCATCTTTATCGATGTCGTTCACTTTATGCATGGCAATTCCGTACGCCGTATTTCTCTTTCTCCCTGAGCAACTAGAAAAACAAGTGTCCCCAAGTCCGAAGTTTTCACCATCTTCCAAAGTTTCCGGCATGGGTTGATTAACCGTTTCAGGTAGATAGAGAGCCAAAAATCCCGAAACAATTGCTATGAATCCAAATACAATAGGTGGTACTTTGGGATTGAAGGAATCCAGCAACATTATCAATGGAGTTAAAGCACCACTTAAACGAGCACACATGGATCCAATTCCAAGTGCCGTATTTCTCACAACAGTCGGGAACAACTCAGCTGTGTAATTGTAAATTATTGCAAACGATCCAGCTATGCATGATTTACCTAATAAACTAATAACAGTAATTGCTCCCTTTTCGTCCTCTGGTATCTGTGTGGCACTGATGCAGCACAATCCTCCAACAAGCATAAATGTACTCAAAAGTGATCTTCTCCCAGTACGATCCATAAGACATGTAGTGAAAGCGTAACTCGGTATTTCAACAAGTCCACTGAAGAACAACATCAGATATGGATTACCGTCTAAATTCTTCGCATTTAATGAAAGACCATAGTACGCTATCGAATTCGCGAACCAGTTCAGACAGACGTTCAACGTCTTTTTCCTAAGATTTGGTGTTTTGAACAGGTCCATTCCTCCAAAGGAGGTATCCTCTTGTGATAATCTTTCAGCTCTACTTTTCGAAACAAGAGATGCTATATCTCTCTGATCATTGCAACCATTCATTTTTAATCCCTTCTGAACAATTGCAACAGCTTCTTTAAACCGACCTTGCGCCCACAACCATCTTGGAGATTCGTCCATCAACCACCAGTGTCCAACTAATAGTACACTATGTAGACCATAGATTATTTGCAACCACATTCTGTCCTTAATAATACTTCCCCATACAGCCACCAACATAAAGCCACTCGCAAAACATAGTTGAAACATTATTCCGCATATTGTTCTCTTTGAAGGACCAACTAGTTCCATCGTTAGAACAAAGCCGGTAATATAAGCTCCCGCTGATCCAAAAACACCGTAGAGAAATCTTATCACAAGAAAAGTGTAATACTCAGGTACTAAAGCTACTAAAACTCCTAAAATTAATTGTGCTACTGAAGAAACGTAGAAAATTATTTTTCTACCATATTTATCAGCCATGCTTCCCAAAATAACAGCTCCGGCAAACACACCAAACATATATGTTGATTGAGCAACTGCTCCCATCCATTTTCGAGAGCAAACAAAGTTCCACTCCATACCACGTGAAGATTTATAGTATGTGGTATTATATGTCCAAGCTTCACAGGTTTTCGTTTCATTTTTATCATCAAGGTAAATACAGCTATTGTCATCAAATGCTCTTGGACCTCTATGAAGAAAATGGGACTCATTCCATGAATTATCGTTCACATTAAAAGAAGTATAATTTTGTTGAAAATCTGTAAGGTTTAAGTCGAATTTGGGTAGCAGGCACTTGTGTTCAGGAACGGCCGCTACAGTTGTTAAAGTCATCATATGCAGTCCTGCTGTCAAACCAGCTATTATGTGTAAGACAAATTGCCATGCTTGATATTTTCCAAATTCCCCCAGATGAGACATCAACTCCTCCAAATCAGTATCAACACTTGCCATCTTGGAATGTTTATCCTGTGAACATTTATCAAAATTGTTAGTTTCGGTTTTATGCAAAGATCGATTTAAATCGAATATTAATAATTTTGTGTTAACTTTACAAGCAACACATCTTTTTCAAGTTATCTTTTCCAAAAAAAATTTTAATGGTTCTTCATTTTTATTTTTCCTTGCTTACTTTAAAAATTTCAGTTTTATAGTACGTGCTGCTTGGGATCATTCAGTTTGGAATTAACATATAGGTAAATAAAACTTGTAAGAATAATAATATTTTCTAAATTTTACTGATTTTAATTAAATTGAAATAATGATTGCTAAAATTGATCGGAATAAGTACAAACCTAAGTGGAAAAATCAACAGAAATTCTGATAATTCAAAATATTAAGAATGGTAGTGTTTCAATTTTTGTATTTTATTATTATTTATTATTATTTTACCAACAAACTGCTACAAACACGAGTATGACTTGGGGAAGACAGTTTTATTTGGAAATTAAGAAAGTATAGGAGATATAAAAAATTTTATGATACGCCTTTATTTTACAATATTTTTGGAAACCCCATTTGAAAAAGTGATTCTTAAGCCATAAGAAATGTCTATTACTAAATTTTTTAAATTGCATTCTAACGTTTAAAAATAATGCCAAACTTCAAGTATTGTGAATTTTATTCTTAAAGGTTGAAGCGTTTTTTTAAACTTGTTGTTTTTTTAAAAGGAAAAAATGACTAATTTTTCAATAACAAATTAGTCGATTTTTTATAGAGAAAATCGGCTTTTTGGCTTCTCAGTGCTACAAAAAAATAAAAAGTATAAAAATCCTTCCAGGGAAAAATATTGTTCCAATGTTGCAATATTATATGAAAATTTATAAAATAAATTAACTCTCTCTGTATCGACAAAAAAAATTATTAAAAATTTGCATTTTTTCATCGAATTAACCTTACCCCATCTTAAGAAATTCGGAAGTTGGCATCACTACAAAGCTTTCTATGAGGAAGCAAAATGAAAAAACTTTCAGTCAAACATATTTTTTATAATTTATAAAAAATTTTACCATGTGACCCACATTGACAAAAACAAATTAACAAAAACTTACAAAATCATGCATGAATTTCAATAACTTTATTTACTCAGAAGTTTTCGAGGTTGCAGAATTACGTATCCAATGACAGTTTTTAAAAATTCAAAACGGCAGATCCAATATGTCGAAAAGAATAATTTTAGATTTACTAAAGGGCTTAATGGGTTGAAAACAAAGTACAAAAAGTGCACCTGCATCTTTCTGCCTCAAATTTGGTCCATGTATTACTATCTCCATGAATATAAATTTCTGCAATTTTGAACATAAAATTTGCATTTTTGGGGAGTTATGGAGGGAGAAAGCAGAATCAAAAATCTTATTTTTCTCGAAAACTCCTGAATCGATTTAAATCAAATTTGGATATGTTGTAAATATAGACAAGAAAATTCTAAAAAAAATCCAATTTTTTTTTCAAAAAAAGTAAAAAAAATGTTATAGCGTACATGTCTTACATTTAAAATTCGAAATATTTTTAATACAATATTGGATGCAAAAAAAAGAGAATCATTAGAATTGTGAAGTGTTATAAGAAGCTTTCAAATTTCTTATTATGAATTCCGAATCAGAGACTATAAATTTGTATTTAATAAATAAATTTATGAAAAATAAAATTTTTTTCGGTACATGTTTTGAAAGATGATAACATTTTTGAAAATAACAAGACCTTATTGAAGTCATTTGGCCAGTATTTTATTTAGATATTTTTAAAAAATCGTCATTTCCAATGTTTCTCAATAATTTGAATAACTTCTAAAATAATGAACGCTTTTTAATGATCTTAAGCTTATTTTTATTTATTTTTTTGTACTAAAAACTATTCTACAAAATATGTAAAACATGATATAGTGTAGATTTTTCAAAAAAATTTAATAAAAAAATATGTTTGAATTTTAAAAATTATTTTTTTGTTAATAAGATTGTTTTGAATTTTTTGGACCAAGTTTGACGATTTACATTTTTTAAGAAAAAAATTACACTTTAATGCCTATAAGTAATTCTCATTCTATAGAAAATGACCTTTGAAATAAGCTTAAGATCATTAAAAAGCGTTCATTATTTTAGAAGTTATTCAAATTTTTGTGGAACATTAAAAAATGACGATTTTTTAAAAATATCTAAATAAAATACTGGCCAAATGATGACTGCTAAATTCTTTCCAAATTTTTATCATTTTCCAAAACATGTACCGAAAAAAATTTTATTTTTCATAAGTTTTATGTTTAAAAATTTTTTTCATTCCCCTGAAAATGGGTGGACTGACAATTTTGACCGGTACTGTACTTTTGGAAAACTTATTGGAATCTTAATCAACACCCCTGAAAACGATCAAGTAACGAGCTTAAAAAAAACTTTATGTCATTTTTAAATTTTTTACTTTATAATACATCCGACATTTTTAATTTTGAAAAACTGATACACTCGATTCTTGTTATAACGAATCTCGTTACAACGTTCTCTCGTTATAACGAACATTAAAACTCTCGATACAACGACAAAAAAAACACGAACGAATTTAAGAATTTAATTTAACCAAAATTTTGGTTAACTCAAAAAAAACGACAAATTTAATCGACTCTTAAATTTATTTAACCTAAAGAATCTAGTGATCCGATTATTATTAAAAATACTTACTTTTTCTTTAAACTGATTTCATAATTCAAAAACTTTTAATATAAATAAACATACTTTACGAAAAATTTAGCACGTATTTGACGTTTGAATAGAACGTGAAGTAGGATCCTCTCCTTTCGTCGTAATATCGAGATTTTGAAGTCCCGAGATCGTCGTTATAACGAGAATCGAGTGTATTTGATTCGAAATCAGAAACCCTGGAAACGAATTTGGTCAGTTTTTGTATTCACAATTTTTTAAAACAATTTTTCGTGTCGATTATCAAATTTTTTTTTATTAAATTAGAGTTCTTGATTATTAAAGAAGAGCTTTTTTCAAAACACAGAGGTACTCAGATATTTTTTAGAATTTATTTCCGAATCAGAAAAAAAGATTTGTGTCTTGAAAAACGACGACGGTATTGAAAATTTTTTTAACAATTTTTGGTGGCGATTATCAAATTTTGTCTTTTTCATCAAATTGGAGCTGTTTTATTAAGAAAGAGCTTTTTCCGAAACACCTAGATAATTATATATTTTTTAGAATTTATTGCCGATTCAGAAAATATTTATGTCTTGAAAAACAACGATAGTCTTGGCAATTTTTTTAAAACAATTTTTGGAATCTAATTTCAAATTTTGTCTTTTCTTCATCAATGTGGAGCTTTTTTATTAAAGAAGAGCTTTTTCCGAAATACGGAGGTTTTTTAGGAATTTATTTCCGATTTAGAAATAATTTTTACTTTGAATAACGTTAATAATCACGTTAAAAAGTGATGCATTAATCGGAATAAAAATTCTTAACAATTTAAAAATTTTTTGTTATGCCAGAAGACTGATAACAAATTCAAGATAATAATTGTTAAATGAAATATAAAGTAATGTCACAATTAATCAAATCTTTGTAAAGTAGAACTATTTAAAATGATTATTCAAGTGTAAAAATTAGCATTTAAACGCTTAAAACCACATTCTATATATTAATCAGCTATTCTCATTTGAAATCAAGTAGCTTTTAAAAACTATGAGTTACGCCCCAAAAAGCAGGTTTTCAAAATTTAAAAAATACTGATATTTATATTTTTTAAAAAATTTTGATTTTTTAATAACTTAATTATATTAATATCATACTAGCGAACAAAATATTGAAATAAATATTTTTCTTATAATAGATGATTCCTAATTTTGTTTTAAAAAATAAATAATTTTTTTACATCGTAAAATATAAGTAACAAAATTGTTAATCCAAACAAAAGTTGATGTACCTTAAGATAATGTTCCCAAATATTACAGTTTTTCTTACTATTTTTCACTTTCATTTTTTATAAACTTCTTATTTATGCATTTCTTAAAAAAAAATCCATAAACTATTATTTTTATTACTTACACTTGAGTGAGTGAATAGATAGTACAGTTCACTTTTTGAAATATATTTTTTCTTGATTGAATTTTACCTAATACATGATCAGTCTTAAGTCACAAGAAACATTATGGAAAGTGTGTTGGATACAACGTTACTAACCTTCCTCTTCGAAGGATTGATCGCAGGAGAACGGAGAATGGATTCGATAATTTTAAAAAGATAAATACTTTTGATGCGTTACCTGCTTTCAAATATTTCTTCATAAAAAGATGCGTGTTTCGGTCCAGAGTGTTCTTAAGTGATACAGGTTTTTAAGATGTTTCATTTTATTCAAGATCTTTCCCAATCTCGAACAGCTGAAATAGATTAAATAAAATAAGAATTTAAAATAAGTATTATAGTAAAATATCCACTTTATGGAGAAAAAGTGGGTGCAAGCTAAATGTAATCGCCTTTCTCCTCACTGATAAAAAAAGTCTATAGCGATGTTTATCGTTTTAAAAATATAGAATAAGTTTAAAACTATATTTTTTCATAATGGATTCCAATTCTCTTATTGTATATATATAACTTATTTAATATTATTTCCTTCCGTGTTAGATTTTATTATGTTATAGATTATGGAATATTTTATATCATACATCAAGTATAAACTTGTTACATTATAATTATATTTTAAAATTTTGTGTTCTATTGTTGACGGACAAAAAAATTGTTTTAGTCACTTTACAAAACTGACAAAAATTCCATTCCATATATTTTATTTTACTGACTTTTTCCTAATTTTCATCAAAAATATTTACTTTCTTTCTTATCCTCCTAATTGAATTCTTGCAAAGAATTTTATAAAAAATTTTAAATAATTCATTGCTTTCGACTAATTTTATGCAAATTCTAATTTAAATAATTGAATTCCTCAGAAATTTTTATAATTCATGAAAAGAATTGAATAATTCTTACGAAGATTTATACAAAAAATTTTTAAATAATTGAATTTTGTTTGGAAATTTTATGAAAATAGTAAATATTGTTAATCTTTGAACTGCAAAAAGTTTTTAAAAATAATTAAATTTTACAAAGAATTCAATTAAAATTTTTGAAAATAATTGAATTCTTGCGAACGATTTTACTAGAATTTTTTAAAATAATTAAATTTCCAAAAAGAAATTTATTACTTTTAAAAATAATTGATTTCTTATGATGAATATTGTTATTTATAAAAATAATTAAATTTTGCAAAGAATTTTATTAAAATGCCTCAAAATAATTGAATTTTCGGGAATAATTTTGATATTTATCGAGGTAATTGAATTGTTCCAAAGAATTATTTATGTAAATAATTGAATTCTTGGGAAAAATTTCATTACAATCTAAAAAATTTAATCTAAAAAAAATCTAAAAAGATTTATTTAAAAAAAAATTTAATTAAAATTGTGTTTAAAATAAATGATTTCCATCGAACCATTTTATTAAAATATTTGAAAATAATTGAATTCCTGTGAAAAATTCTTATATTTTTGTAAATATGTAATTGAATTCTTGCAAAGAATTTTAAACAAATGTTTTTTTTAATAATTGATTTTTTCGAGGAATTGATATCAAAATTTTAAGAATAATTACAGTTTTTGATCAATTTCTGTATAATTGTATTAAAAATAATTGACTTCCTGAGAAGAATTTTATTATTTATGAAAGTAATTGAATTATTGCGAAAAATTTTATTAAAATGTTTAAAAAGAATTGAATTTCTGTAAAAAATTTTGTTATTTTTGAAAATAATTGAATTCTTCATAAGAATTTTATAAACATTGTTTTAAATAATCAATTTTTTTTGTAAATATAATAAATATAATGAAAATTTTATTTAAAATAATTGAATTCTTGTAGAAATCTTTATTTGTGAAATTAATTGAATTTTTCCATTAATTAATTTAAGTATTAAAAAGTAATTGAAATTCTGCGATAAAGTTTATTATTTATGAAAATAATTGAATTCTTGATTAGAATTTTATAAAAATTTCCAAAAATAATTGAATTTCTGAGAAGAAATTTATTATTTATTAAAATAATTAAATTATTGCAAAAAATTCATATTAAAATGTTTAAAAAGAATTAAATTTCTGTGAGAAATTTTGTTATTTTTGAAAATAATTGAATTCTTCATAAGAATTTTATAAACATTGTTTTAAATAATTTTTTTTTTGAAAATATAATAAATATTATGAAAATTTTATTTAAAATAATTAAATTCTTGTAAAAATCTTTATTTGTGAAAATAATTTAATTTTTTTATAAAATAATTTAAAATATAGTATTAAAAATAATTGAAATTCTTCAATGAGCTTTATAATTTTTGAAAATATATAATTGGATTCTTGCTTAGAATTTTATTAAAAATTTTTTTAAATAATTGAATTTCCATGAAAAATGTTATTGTAAGTGAAAGTATTTGAATTATTGTGAAGAATTGTATAAAAATTTTGTTCAATTGAATAAAAAATATTTTTAAAAAATTGAATAAATAATAATAAATAAACAATTGACTTTTTCGAAATTTTTTTGAAAATGCTGTTCTAAATTAATTGAATTCATGTGGAAATATTATTACCTATGAAAATAGTTGAATTTTATCAATTTTTTTTTAAATAATTAAATTCTTTTTCAAAATTTTATGAAAATATTAGATATTGAAAGTAATGAATATTTTTTGAAAATAATTGAATCTAATCGTTTTAAAGAATTTGATTATAATTTTTGAGAATAATTTTTTGATTTCTGGTATTAGCGAATTTGAAGTAGTGGAAATTCTAGAAAAATCATAAATAGTAGCTTTTAGTTGGTGAAATCTAAAAAAAAGTACCCAAATAGTAGCATAACGTAAAAAAGTAGTAAATAATAGGTTTTAGTAGATGAGTGCGAAGTCTGCAGATGTGTTATTTTATTAAATATAAATTTTATAGGAAACTAGATGTAAAATTTAATTAGTTAGTCATGTGTGTCCCACTAACCGCGAAAAGCAAACATTAAAAAAACGTAAGTTGAATAAGTGTAACAATTGTTAATCGATTAACCTACGTTGATTCTTTCAATTGAAACAATGCGTTCAAGATCACTTAACTGTTACGCATTTTAAGACTTTGACCTTTTAAAACTAAGTTCTCTATCGTCATAAATCATCAATGAAAGTATTCTTCAGTTTTAGAAATATTGATGTCATCAGTAATAGAAATGCATATATATTCAAAAAGTTCTATGTTTAAGAAAAATAAAATACTTTGTGTGCATTACATGTTAATATTAAAGAAATAATAAAAACCATTTATTTTAAATCACCTTAATTTTTAATTCCAAAATTTTCTTTTTCATAGAAGGCAAAGTATTATTGACATCATAACTGGTGTGGGCCGATTGATTACATTTTTTATTCGGATACAACTGCAGTTATTATTATATCTTCAAAATTTTCAAAATAAAAAATTATGAATACATTTAGAGACAGGTAGTTTTATAATTAATTTTGTTTTCTTAAAACTTGCTTTTCATAGGTTTTTCCGACCAACTAATTTGAAGTCAGATTTGTAATTCGTGATCCCAAAAACATCCAAATAACGGATTTCGAATAAATTCATATTAAAATAAAAAAATTTCGCGGTATTAAATTTTAAATTTTTTATTTTTAAAAGCTAATATAATATTCTTAATCAGCAACCCACTTTTTATTAGAATTTCTAATTAACAGTTTAATTTATTTTTATTGCAACCTAAAATAAAGCGTTATCAACACGGAACCGTTATTATATAATATATAATGTTTCCTATTTATAATAGGTATTTAAAGGTCTATTTTACAGAGTATTTATCGCTTCTAATCCACCACTAGTGCATCTACTCTACTTACTTATTATCTTTATTATTGTTATTTTTAAGAAATGTTACTAATTTATATAATAATGTATTATAGATAACACGATATTATCGCTATATTAGAATTGTTTACATGGCCTGCAATTTTAAAGGTCAATATAATAAAATATTAATAAATATATTTAATATATATTTTGATTTAATTACATTATAATAATAATAATACTTTATAATATTGCAAGGCAATGTTACCTCAATCTTGTCACACAATGTTAAATGTACTATTTAAGACTACTATCTACAAAGGCATATATATATGGTGTAGGTACTATGATTAGTAAAATGAATGAAGATGATAACCTTTCTAAATTATTTAAAAAATTTATTAATTAATTTTTTAAGTGATATTCATATATGTGTACTAATTAGTAAAATAAACGAAGGTGATAATATTTCTAAATTATGAATATGTTTATTAATGAATTTTGTAACATAAGGTAGAAAGCACATATCTCATCTTTATTTTATCAAGAAAATATGTCTTTGATAAAAATCATAAAATTATTATCTTTTAACATAGTTTTTTCACTTTATAAAACTGAGGAATAAATTTATTTACATAAGCAGGCACTTTTCAGATAAAAGTTTAAGACAATCTATTTTTAAATTTAATATTTTATGAATTAAACATTTTTACTATTAATTATTTACTATTAGACTTACTACAAATTATATTGAATTTTCTTTATTATATAGGGGAATGTCTCCATAAGTGAACCGCTTTTCTATTTAGTCAAATAAAATTTTTCAGTGAAGAGGATTTAAAGACGTCGCTATATAGCTGTTTCCCTAAATTTCATGTATAAAGTAAGATTGTGTTTTAGTTTAAATAAAAGTTTTTAGACCGATTTTCCACAGTAATAATTTTTTGACAAAAAAATTGTATTCATGAGTGGACCACTTGCTAAAATCTTCGAAAAATGACTAAAAATAAAACTAACATTATATGATTTTAATGTTAATGTAATATATACGTATCATAAACACTTTATGTGTAATTAAAACAATATTTTTCAAATTTAATTGGTTTCGGTCTTACAAACGTGACAAGTGAAGAAAGTTGTCACTTTCAAAACCCTAACAGCATCTGGATATTCAGGATATCCTACTAATGTCCTAAGAATTTTTATCGTCAGAATAGTAAATTTGCGAATTCAAAATTCAAAATGTCGGATTTGAATATTTAAGGGGTTAAAATCGAAAACTTAAAAATCGCGATTTCTTTGTACTTAACTTTGGTAGAGGTGTGTTTTAAAGGTCTACAATAAAAAGTTGTTAAAATAATAAATTTATTTACCCATACAGAAATTTCCACCTTGTTTCCCGATTTTCGATTTCGGATCAGTATAGAATCCATCAAGAAGAGATGAATAAACATAAATTTAGTTCAGCGTCATCAATGTTAAATTAATCATTACAAACAGTTCAATTTTAAAAATTATAAACAATTAAAAACTTAATTTGAATAAAAATTGAAACCTTACTGTTAATGAGAAACGTTATTTAATTGCAACTCTTACTTATTAAAAATGTCAGAAAGTAAAATTTATAACTATCCAATGGCCTATTTTTAAACTTTATACAGCCTCGAACTAAGAAGTTATTAACATTTGAAAAATTATAAATTAAAAAAAGTGATTTTTTGTGGCTGTTTTTGGCATTTAATTGTAATAATGAATGTCAAAAATACAATTTATAATATTTATATTTTATACAATGAAAATATTCATAAAGAACCAACGTGTTCATGATATGAACACAAAAATTGCATCTTTTTTTAATAAAATTTTGGTACAATGGTACTTCAATTTATTTATGTAAAGCGAATATTTATGGATTGTTATACATAATTAAAAATTAAAATAGTTGTAAATTTTTTATATTGAAAAGTATTACTAACAATAAGAATGAATAAAAACAAGTATAAAAAATATGTCTACATATTTCTTCTATATAATTTGACTGTTATTTTTCATCAACAATTATTTCAAATTTCTAAAATCACATTTTATCTCATTTTATTAATTCGTGGAACACACTATTGTGATATAAAATAAATAAATATTGCAAATAAATTTGTTTATAATCATGTAATATTATCATCAGATGGACATTTTAATGTGACTAAAATATTATATGTGCTACATGGGATGTTTGGATTTAAAAAAAATATATTCTTCTAAAAAAAGAAGAGGAAATTAAAAACACAAAAAACAAAAAAAAAGAAGATGAGAAAAAAGGTCGGAAAAATAATAATAAAAAATCTTAAAAACTTGTACAGCATCGAAAACAAAACAAATTGAAAATGAAGAAATTTCATAAAAATAGTCAAATGATTGGAATTAATGCAATCAATTGACTAATTCTTAAGAAATTTTGAAAATATTTTCTTAAGTTGTTTGATTATTTACATTCACGTGACATATCTTGAAAACAATATCATTGAAATATTTGTTTTAAGCACTTTATTCATTTTAGCATTATTGAACTTCATAAATTTGAAAGAATTCTTAAACAATATAAAAACAAAAGTTAAAGTGTATTAGTGAGTATTAAAACCCGTCGAAGTCGGGTACAAATTAATATTTATTATATTTAACATTTTCAATAAACTATATCTTTAATGTGGAGAAATTTCTTCCGGTTATTGAGATTTAGGTATAGAGAAAATATTTTTTTTAATTTATAAAAATATATTTCATGTTTCTAGGATGCAAAATTACTTTTACATAATTTGTTTGGTTGAATTTATTTTTGGTTCATAGTACAATCTATTTCTTAGCTATAAATTACATTTCACCTGGGAAGAAATCTATTTTAACAAAATAAAAAATCTTGCCAAAGAAATGAAAAATACCTATTTTAAAACTTGAGAAAAAAATTATTCTGTTTTAAATAAAACGAGGAGAAATTAATAAATATTAAACATATTTTAAATTATTTAAATTTTATGTCATTCAGTAGATAAATAGAAGATTCATTGATCATAATATTAAATATTTAAGAAAATCTTATTACTTGAAAATTGAATTCAAAAACTTACTTTTATAGCTTCTTCATAACTGCCTCAAGACTCAAATTTAAAAAATATACTATAGTAATAAAGGCCTTCGTACAGATTTTGGTGTTTAAGAACAGATTCTCACGAAGTACTAAAAATTTCCAGAAATGTGAACATCTGTGAACTTTCTTAACACAGTTTAACAATGAACGTCCGATGCCAATGAACTCGGATACCCAAGTGGAAATGAAACGATCTAAACGTTTTCCACTGGTCTCCAGTATAACGCAACTATATTTGTAGAGTTGTATTCAGTACTAAAAATACATATATACAGAAAATGATTTATATGCGCATACTTTTCTATAGTTATCTATTATTTATCGACAGCAGATAAGAATTACTCAATATTAACTTTCACAGAAAATAATGTTAATGACACATACAGTACCAAAAGACTCCTTAAACTGAACAGCATCTCGCATTGCGAAATTAGAAATATTGAATATATTTAAACTGGTTCAAATTTGCGTAAACATTAAAATCTCCCATACAGATTCCAACATAAGTTCATACATAAGAATTCACATCCAAATTTCTTTATGCGAATCTATTAAAAATTTAACTTTTGGGTAAGACTCCGTCAGAAATATCACAATTCCCACGTCGAAAAATTCCATAGAACTTCTCCCTGGAATTTTCGTGGAGGTTCTATGGAAATTTTGTATGTTTTTTATTTTAATATTATTTTAACATTTCTATTGTGATTAGAGTCTATAATAATAAGCTTTGTTGCAATTTCTTTGCAAAACTTGATTAAAATACGCATTTTGCAAGTGAATTGCAACAAAGCTTACTCTCTAAATCTGAATAAGTGAAATTTTCACTTTTTTCATGTGTGAACCTTTTTCTCACTTATTAATAAGTAGAATCTACTTATACATAAGTGAAATATTCACTTTTTTATGTGTGAACTTGTCTTCACTTATCAATAAGTGAAATCCCCACTTATGTATGAGTGAAATATTTAGTTAAAAAGAAATTCATCTGCGCATTATATTACAATTTATTATTTATACCAACTTTTAAATGTTTAAAAACAATGTTTTTATCATTTCAGTTAATATATTAGAAATTTTTTATTTTATTTAATTATAAAAATTGAAGGGCTACATAGAATAAGGGGACGAACGCGAGGCTTGGAAGGGATAGTACCAGTCAGGTAGCAGTGACGGGCCTTGAGCCGCTCGCTCCTACCTGACTGATATTATCCCTTTCAACCATGCGTTCGTCCCCTTATTTTATGTAGCCCTTCAATTGTCATTTAAAATTTAATAAATTTTTTAAAAAATATTCAGTTAAATATTATATTAACAGTAATCTAATAACTAACTTTTTATTTACTAAGTATTTATATACATATATAATAAGAGAAATCTTAAACAAAACGTTAAAGTAGAACACAATAAACTAACTCTTTATAAGTATCACCCATTAATTTTCTACGAGTATAAGGCAACTTATTAAGTGGCATTGTAGTGTTTCTCGTTGATCATTAAAGTTAAGCGACATTGCTTGCAGTTAATATTAGGATGGGTGACCGTTTGGGAATTTAGCTTAAAAAAGTTGAAAAATTGATATGTTTATAAGTTTCAGACTGATAATGAGAAGAGAAGAGAGTGTTAAATAGTTGATAGTAAATAAATATTTTTTTTATATAATATTGATCCTGATTATTTATTTACATTCACTTCTTAATGTCTGAGTATTCACTTATCTCATAATTGAATATTCACTTATTCATAAGTGAATGTAATTCACTTATTCATAAGTGAATATAATTCACTTATTTCATGTGTGAATATTCACTTATTCTACTTGGAAGAGTTTTGAAACATGGAATAAGTGAATATTCACTTAAAATAAGTGAAATTTCACTTATTCAGATTTAGAGAGTATTATTAGACTCTAATCATAATAGAAATATGTTAAAATATTATTAAAATAAAAAAAATTTAAAAACTTGAAGAATTTCTATGGCATCTCCACGGAAATTCCACGGAGAACTTCCTTGGAATTTTTCGACTTGGGCAACCAGCGTCGTTATTCAAGATACAAATTTTTTCTGAATCGGAAATAAATTCTAAAAAAGTACTGAGTACCTTCGAGTTTCGGAAAAAGCTCTTGTTTAATAAATAAAGCTCCAAATTAATGAAAAAAAATCAAATTTGACATTCGACTTCAAAAATGGTGAACATAAAATTACAAGACCGGCGTCGTTTTTCAAGACACCATTTTTTTCTAAATCGTAAATAAATTCTAAAAAACAAAATTTTTAAATTTTCTTCCGAATTTACATTTGGTTTATATTGAAATTCGATCCTTGGAAGGTATAATAAATAACATAAAGAATATTTTTTATGTCATTCTTTAAAATTTATTGTTAAAGGTAAAATATGACGTTTCGATGACTTGGTTCGTCATCATCATCAGGCTTATTCTAATTTTTGTTAAAAACGCGTTACATATTATTTATACCGTAGTGACAGGTACGTCAATTCGATAAGAGTATTTCGTCAATTTTCTTATCGAATTGACGTACCAGTCACTACGGTACAAATAATATGTTTTTAAAGTTTTTGAATAAAACAAAAAGAAACATAAAAAGATTGAGTCATTTACCGTTACGTCCCTGTTCGTGACTCTGGGTTCGGCAGAGAGCGGAATTGAAAGTGATGTGCTTTTAAATAATCTTCAAGTTTCCTCAAAAGCCTCTAGTAAACATTTTAGAAAAATTCATCAACATTCAGAACATTTGGTCGCCATATTGAACCCGCAATTTCGTATTTAGAAAAACGAACATCAAATTCGAATTCAACGACCCTATAATCTCCAAAAAACACGAATTTTGATCAATTCGCATCAATTTTCAAATTATCTGCCATATTGAGTCCGAAATTTTGAATTTTAAAAATCTGGCTTCAAATTCGAATTCATCGACCCCAAAAACCTTACTATACGCATTGACACTCAAATCGAATTATGTTTAGTATTTTTTTGAGATGGCCATACATGGCCACTGACGCAAAGGTGGAACGACTTTTTGTAGCCATATATGGGCCATGGACTGTCAAGGGGTTAAAAAGGTTTAAATTGATAAAAAAATCCCAAATTTGATATTCGACTCAAAAGATTGTAAAAAAATTTCAAGACCAGCATCGTTTTTCAAGATACAATTTTTTTCTGAATCGTAAATAAATACTAAAAAAGTTATGAGTACCTTCGTATTTCGGCTTGTCATTAAACTCTAATTATAATAGAAATGTTAAAATATTATTAAAATAAAAAACTTACAGAAGAAGTAGTAAAGAATAAAATATTCCTTACAATTTCACCTTTCATTAATAGAAAAAAGAAAACGATGGAGACTTAAATAGTTTTCGAGAAATTGGTTTATATGAAAAGAGTGTTCTAATATGGCTTAAAATTTAAGTAATTATATCTACTTTAAAATGCAAAGCGTCAGAATAAAAGATTCAAGGTGGCGAATAAAGTTCATTATAATACTTTAGACACTTGAAACTAATGTCACGCGGGGGTCACCACAGCGAGCTTTGATGAAATTCAACCCAAAAGTCAATGTACAACGCCGTTTTCTTTAATTATTTAAGTGAGGCCTGCTGAGTATTTTAAGACCAAAATAAAAACAATTGGTTGTGGAAAACTGAAATTATCATAATAAAATAAACGAAGCCATTCAGACAAAGATTCTTTAATGTTACTCCAACGTTTGGAAATTAACGGATTTCCTCTTCAGTGAGTCAAATTAGTGACAGATTATTTATTAATTTTTTTATACTATATGGCTCCAATGTGTGGGTGTAGTAATTTTAATTTTCCAACGAATTTTATTTTAATTTCTGACGGTTTTTATTTTATTCTCTGACTGTTTCTAATTTGACTTCCTGAAGAGGAAATCCGTGGATTTTGAAACGTTGGAGTAACAAAAAAGAATCTTTGTCTGAATATCTTCGTTTACTTTATTATTATTTAAACTACACCGACGTTAAAGACTTTATGTAAATTATCATGATTATAAATCATGCTTTATAATAATTTTTTAAATAATTAATATTTTAGGATTTTATTACTTTAATGTGGAACAGCAATTTACTAAAGTAAACTTGGTATTCCAATGTTTTTGAGGTCTCTGAATTCAAATATGATTGTGAAATTAAAAAATTCTACACTACCATCGGAAATGATCGGTACGGCTCCACGTGTATGTCCCAAAAACATACTTACATACAATCTTTAAATTGCGATTTTTTTTGTAAAAACAAATATCAGAAAATTAACTAATATACCATTCGAAAGCTTATAATATTGTACGTAAAATGATACAAAATTGAAAATTTTAATAAATTGCACAAAGATTTTTAGCAGTCGTCAAATTTAAAAAAAAATTAAAAAAAGAAAATTTGTTTGACAATTTTTTAAAATTTAAACATATTTTTTAATAGTTGGAGACAAAACTTAAAACTTATGTGGGTGTCATCCTTTAAGTTTCATCTTTAATTTAAGACCAAAAAAATAAAAATATCTTATTCGGTTCGCAAGTTATTATAAACGTCAGAGCCATATATAGGTTTTTTAGGTTTTGTCAGAAACCTGATCTGATAGGGTAAAATGGACCTCGGATACGGATTAAGCGACTCCAAAATAAGATATACATAGTTAGACCCCCAGATAAGAACAAAAAAATTTTTTTTAATGGCTGTCTCATTTTTTTAATATCTATTAGATTTTTATAAAAATCAGAAAAAACCATCTGAATGCAAAAGTTGTACATGTTTTTCATATACCTTAATTAGAATTTTATTTCAGTCGTATTATGGCCACTTTGTCTATCTGTACATACCCATATTAAGTTCTCCATTATAGTCCATAGGTCAATAAATTGATCATTATTTCCTTTGGATTATAAAGTACCCATTATTACCCAAGGACAATAACGGTTAATTTATTAACCTTATTTAGAGGTGAATAAAGTAGTCATTAATATGTAAATAGTAAAGAGTCAAAGTATACACCAAACTTGAAAATTTTTAAAACTAATATGTGTTTTTTAAATTTCCCAACATTTTTTTTCTGATAGTAGTAAATGACGAAATAGAAATGGGGCATTCTACGTCAACGGAAGACCCCTCTGTCCAAAAATGATTTAGTCTAAAAAAGGTTTAATATGGCTTAAAATTTAGCTCATTATGTAAGCTTTCAAATGCATAGTGGTACTTTTAAAC